GGTTCCGGCTCTGGCACCGTCGGTGGCTCTGGCTCTGCTTCTGCTTCCGGCTCTGTCTCTGGCCACGGCTCTGGCTCCGGCTCCGGCTCTATTGGCGGCTCCGGTTCTGGTTCTGGCTCCGGCTCTATCTCTGGCCATGGTTCTGGCTCCGGCTCTGGCATCAGCGGCGGCTCTTCTCCTTCCGGCACTGGCCCCAGCGGTGTCAGCCCTACCGACATCACCGGCTCTGGCTCTCCTAAGGGTCCCACTCCCTCTAGCACCCCTGTCACTCCTGGTGGCTCCTCTCCTACCGGCGGTGTGATTGGCGGCGGCTCTGGCCACGGCTCTGGCCACGGCTCCGGCTCCGGCTCTGGTTCTATCGGCGGCTCTGGCTCTGGCACCGTCGGTGGCTCTGGCTCTGGTTCTGCCTCTGGCTCTGTCTCTGGCCACGGTTCCGGCTCTGGTTCCATTGGCGGCTCCGGCTCTGGCTCCGGCTCTATCGGCGGATCAGGCTCCGGCTCCGGTCACGGCTCTGGCTCTGGCTCTGGCTCTGGCTCTGGCTCCGGCTCTGGCTCTGGCTCTGGCTCTGGCTCCGGCTCTGGTGCTGGTGCTGCGACCACCCCTTGTGAGACTCTTACCGGTGAGACTGTTGTCCCCGTTGCAACCCACACCCAGGGCGGTTCTTCCCCCAGCGCTCCTGCCGGTAACAACGGCGGCTCTCCTAGCGGTGCTGCTACTACCCCTTGCGAGACTCTCACTGGCGAGACGGTTGTTCCCGTTGCCACCAACACTGCTGGTGGTTCCTCTCCTAGCGCCCCTGCTGGCAACAACGGCGGCTCCCCTAGCGGTGCTTCTCCTACCGGTGGTGTTCCTAGCGGCAGCTCCAGCGGTTCCTCCGGCAGCTCCAGCGGTTCTTCCAGCGGCTCCGGCTCTAGTGGTTCTTCTGGTAGCTCCAACGGCTCCGGCTCCAGCGGCAGCTCCAGCGGTTCTTCTGGCAGCTCCAACGGCTCCGGCTCCAGCGGCAGCTCCAGCGGTTCTTCTGGCAGCTCCAGCGGCTCCTCTGGCTCTTCTCCCAACGGCGGCTCCAACGGTGCTTCTCCTAGCGGTGCCAGCGCCGATTCTGCCACTACTCCTTGTGACACCATTGTCAGCGAGACTGTTATCCCTGTTGCTACCAACACTGAGGGTGGCTCTGTCCCAACTGCTCCTGCTCAGACTGGTGCTGTCCCCACTGGCACCGCTCCTGCTGGCGGTGCTGCTCCCTCTGGTGCCGCTCCCTCTGGTGCTGCCGGCGGTGCTGGTGGTGAAGCCTCCGCCACTCCTTGCGAAACCTCCGTTAGCGAGACTGTCGTTCCTGTCGGTACCCAGACTGTGGGTGGCTCTGGTGCCGCTCCTTCTGGTGGCGCCGCTGGTGGTGAGGCCCCCTCTGGTGTTGCCAGCGTTCCTGCTGTCCCTACTTCCAGCACTGTCCCTGAGGGCGCCAGCGCTGACTCCACCACCACTCCTTGCGACACCCTCGTTACTGAGACTGTCATCCCTGTTGCTACTCAGACTGAGGGCTCTCCTGCCCCCAGCGGCACCGCCGCTGAGGGAGGCTCCGCCCCTCAGATTACCACCGCCCCTGTCGCAGGCTCCGGCTCCAGCTCTGACGTGGTCACTGTCACTGTTACCACCACTGTGAGCGTCGCTGCTTGCGAGTAAGCAAGCAACCACCAACATACCCGACATGAGACGATAGCAACGGCATGCATGGCGAAGAAACCTCCTGTATATACCTAATTCATTTCTAATTCTAATTCTTCTGAAGATTGTCTTAACTGTCTGCCTCCTATCTTTGTACAAAGCTGCAACAGGCCAGAGGAACGATGTATTTGCTTTATTGTTGATATGTTCATTGCTGCAAACCCCCTTCAATGGAGTACATTCGTTTCCCGCGAGACTACCAAAAACATGTACTATCTGCCGACTGTGTGATATAGCCAAGGTTTTGAATAATCGAGGAAGATTCGATTCACTTGTTTTACTTTGGAGTAGTAGTAGTAGTAGTATTCACACAAGATGCCCAACTACTGCCTGGTAGTTAATGTTGTTTTCTTAGTAATCCCAACATATCAGCACTCGCTTACTACCTACCCAGTTCCAACTGCCCAACAAGGCTCTCGATCATTACTTGCAAAGCCCAAACAATTTGCAGTAAGACGGATCAACGCTCAATGCTTCCGTGCTTCCAGTACGCTTCGAGGCTGTCCCTTTCAGCCCCAGTGTTGACGTCGCCTGATCGACAGCAATCCCGCCCCGATCAGCGTCCATCAGCATTTCTTGGTTGTGATTGCTACTTGCCTTTCCTGCCTGTTGTCCCCAAGCCACTAAGCACCAAGCACCAAGCACCAAGCACCAAGGCACCCTCGAGTGCCCATCCGCCTGCCTTGCAATTCGACTAAGCGAATGCAAAGCGGGCCGATCCCAATTCCCCTCCCCTTCCTGGCTCTGTCTTTCTTTCTTGTCTTCATCACATCACAGCCCTCTTCTCCCACGGTTGTTTCCAGGAATAGAATCAAGCCAGACCTCTAGGAGGAACAGGACGAAGCCGGAAGGAGCGGAAGGAGCGGCAGCAGCAGCAGCAGCAGCAGCAGCAGCAGCAGCAGCAGCGGAAGCTCGTCTGGATAGTGTACAGTACAAGGCTCAGTAACTGCTGGGATCAATCGCACCATCATTATACTATGTAGTACAGTACATCTGCATCCGTGGCATACGGTACCCATCACCTTACCTGATCCAGTAACCACCACGAGAACGAGTCTAGATTCCCTCTACCTTTTCCCTTCTTCTTTTTTTTTTTTTTCTTTTTTCTTATTTTTCTTTGTGATGAGAAAAACAATTTAAAGAAAGAAAACAACAAGAAGAAAAGAAACCGACAGGCACAGGTACAGGGGCAGGGAAAGGGTTGGAGAATCCCTGTCAGCAAACCGGTCGACCACTCAGTTGAATGTACGGAGTACGGAGTAGGTGCTTTGCCCATTCTGTATTGTGAGAAGAGGTTACGGTTACGTACTGAGCTACAGTACATACTCATACTACAGAGTACTATGAGTAAGACATGCATGCATGGCATGCATTTCCTTCCTCGCACTAGACCAGGGGATACCCAGGACGCCCTAGACTACCTACCTAGTAGGGAGATGGCGCTGACTTACCACAATCTACGCATGCAGCTTCAAATTGGAGGGGGCACGGGGCTAGATGGAAATTTTTAATAACTCAATGTCACTAAGTTATTAATTTTGATTGTGTCGATAGTCGTTCTAGGTACGGAGTACATACAGTATCTCTGGAATCAGTAGTTTTGTAGAAGCTAAGTTTGTTATCTTGTGCATACCTGTACTCTACTGTAACTTACCCATCCCATCCCATAGAAGATTAATTAGGACAAAAGAGCAGGGATACTTCCTACCTTCATGTTACGAGTAAGTACTCCGTACTGAGTGTCCACATAGTGATCACAAGGAGAAGCCAAGACAAAAATTCGATGCAAATGTGCAGTGAGTTCCCAGGGGGAGGGGGGATGTTTGTTTACCCTCGTTCCCACCCGGCCTCTGCCTCCTGCTGCTGCTGCTGCTGCTGCATCCACCCATTCATTGCCCTGCTCCAGCAGAATAGACACTACAACAAAACAAAGTCACCAAGCAAGTCCAGGTTATCGACTATTGCCTTAGCTATACTCCACCAGACCGACACCCCTTCTAGAACCTAGTCTCGACCCCAATTCCTCCAAAGTCCAACCAACCCCTTCGGATCCGACAGGAAGTCAACAAACTAGTTACCACTACTTAAGCCCGTGCTCATTATTGAGCATAGCATAACGGCGCGCGTGCGGAGTAGCCTGCTAGCCTAGCCAGAAAGAAAAAGGGGAACCGCGGAGAACTCGTACCGACGGCGTGGTAGAACCCCCCCTTTTTTTTGGGGGGGGGGGGGGGGGGGGGGGGGTCAATTCGGTCGAAGCTTGCACTTAATTGAGGGCACGGATATATCACTGCTCTTCCGAAAAGAGTTGATGGAAATATGGAGGAAGGAACCTTTCCCCCCCTCCTGATCTCGTGGTCGGTGGGCGGCTGTAGATCTCAAAAACGGACAGCTTGTCTTAAGGCTGGCTCCGAACTCTAAGACATTAAACTATCAACATTAACGGGTGGGGGTGGGAGGTTGAAGACAGACTATTGAGCTGGGAAACGTGGTTCTGGAATTGCATCAAAGGCCCGACGGCTGGAATATGGTGTATTTTCTTTTCCTTTTCTTTTTTTCTTTTGGCACTATAACCGAGTATTTGGCCGGCTAGAAAAAGAGAAGCATATACTCGGGGTTGTTACCAGAAAAAAACAAATAGTCGGGACAAAAAAGGAAGTGTAACGGTCAGCCAATGGCTCTCTTTTTGACATTCTCTCTCGCATTAGAACTACCGAAATTTCGTAATGTCCATTCATTTTCATGTGCGCCATGCCTCCGCGGGATGTTCCTGAGGTCTCTCTCTATTCGGATGGTTTCGAATGGTTAAGCCTACCTACCTTGTCGCTCGAGGCGGTACGGCGCTTGGCGACTAGCTGTTCGCGAAGGATCCTCTCGCGTAATTCCGAGTTGGATATGCGGGCGTGGGTAGATCTGGAGGGAGCAGGCTAGACAGATACAATCGTCATGTTAGCTTCGTTCCACGGTGACCAACAGAATCAAGAGGGGCGTTTAGAATATTTAACGGACATCATGAAATAAGGCCATATGAATAGCTTTTTTGGTGGTGGTGGATTTTTCTCCTCGAAAAAGTTTATTCACCCACCTCGTCGGCTTCCTTCATCTCCTGATCGCTGCTGCCGCTCGGTCTCTCGGCTGGCGGTTCAGGTCGGCTTGTCGCTTCATTATCATCAGCCATCCTCTGTCGTTTGTCACCAGGAGCGGACACGGAAGACGTATCGCGCCGTTTCCGGCCGGCGGGGGCATATCTCTCGATAGAACGACGTCTTTTGCGATCCCTTGCGTGGCCTCCCCGACTATGGCTCCGGCTGCGACTGCGCGAGTCCTGACTGGCGCTGCGGGACCGGCCTCGGCTGCGGCTGCGGCTGCGGCTGCGATCGCGGTTGTACCCCCGCGAGGAGTGTCGGCGTCTGCGGTGGTCATCGCAACTTCTACTGCGGCTCAAGCGGCGGTCATCACGGGGTTTGCGGGCCTTGGCAATATCAGCGGTAAGTTCTCTCTTATCAACTCGTGAAGAATAAGGCGAAGATCTCCTCCGTCGTCGGGCGCCGCTGGCATTCGACCCGGGCGACCTGGAACGCGAGCGGGACCCCGACGAGTCCCGTCGTCTGCCTTTATCTCTCACGCCGCGCGAGCGCGAGCGCGAGCGCGATACATTGCGGGAAGAGACGGATCTCCGTCTTCTGCGGTCGCGGTCTCTTCTGGGAGTACGTGAGCGGGAGGATGAATGACTGCGGGAATGGGATCTTGCGCGATCACCGTAATCAGGGCTGCGTCTTCGGGGCCGTCGGCTGCGGTCTCCGCGGTCCGGCGAGACGGATTTGCTGATGGAGCGACGTCGCCGGTTCCGGTCTCTACTCGGGTACCGCTGCTGGCGGCGCGGCGGCGGTGGTGACCGCGACGACGAGATGGATCGAGAACGTGAGCGGCTGGGGGAGTAGGAAGGCCGACGGCCTCTGCGAGGTCCGGAGGGAACGTACGAGTCAAACTCCCGCCGTCCAGGTGGCTCGCGGAAACGCTCCCTGCTACGACGCCGGGGAGGAGACCGCGGCCGTCTGTCGAAGTCCCGACCGCCACGGCCACCACCTCTTCTTGCGCCCCCTGGCCCCCCTCCTCCTCGCCCACGCTCAGAGCGCTCTCTGCGTCTGATTTCCTCCAGTTCTCTCTCCCTTGTACGTTCTTGCTCCTTCTGTTTGCGGGCTTCCTCGGCGGCCTTCTCGGCTTCGATCTGGAAAGGGCGAAGAGGTAAGTTGGCCGTCACATCAGGCACCGTTCGAGTTATCGCACCTTCTCTTGAATAAGTTCCAGCTTCTTGGCCTCCAATAGCTCCTTGGGAACACCCTGGGGATTTTCCTGAGCGCTCAGACATAGCGACCAGAGCTCCTTGCAAAACTTGGCGGTATCCTTGTCCAAGAAGCCCGTGAGCTGAATCTGAAGGGATTTGACATCGGGCTAGTGATTATCATAGAACAAAGCTCGGATTAGCGGCACAACTCCCAGGAGAAGGCGCACTGCGTTCGCCGCAGAGCGGAGGGGGTGTAGAACAAGGACCGACATACAAACCGGGAACCTTCCAACAAGTTGAAACAGAGCTCGATGACAACATCATCTTCGTTGCCCAAGATTTCGGAAATCTTGCCGGCAATCCACCTACCAGTACAAAAAAGAATAGTCAGTAACTGTTTTTGTTCCTTTGGTAAATGTGCTTTCTGCCCGATAAAGATCATCCGGAGAGGGAAGGGTGGGTTCACGACGACGTACTTCTTCATGACTTCGATATTCACTTTCTTCATGTCCACCTTGCGGCTGAATTCCGGCGGGAATTTGGTCTGCCTCAGCAGCTTGGCGTCCACGCTTGTCGCCATCTTTTCGCGAACGATGTGACCCTGAAAAGCAATGAAGAGCGGGAAATTAGTAAGTCTGGAGAGGGCTGAGACATTTAGAACGGAGGGAGCGAAACGGTCGTGAGTGACGATCGAGATTGCGGGGCTGGTCTGTGTGGCTGGCTGTATTCCGGAGCCTTGTCGGACCGGCTTTTACTTTGCCTACCGTGCCACTGTAGCTTCAATCTTGCCTCTTTGGGTAGTGTGACTGGCATTCCATGGATTTGTGCCGGATGAGGTATTCAAACCTATCTTGCTGTCTAGTGATGCGATTTCTCTTTCAAGATCTATGGGCAATGCACTTGGAAGATAGGGGTATACTGTGGCATAGTTCTAATCGATACCTCCCCCAGAGCTCTCTACATCTAGTATATCAGGAGTTCCTCGCAGGTTTTGGAGGTCTTCCCTGCGGGAATGGTATGCACCTCCGCTTTGGCGATAAGACGTCCGAGATCGGGGTATATCAGAGGGGATACGACTTTTTCGCCTCTATGTATCAAGATGACACAGCATGTGAAGTATGGTTCCTAGGGGTATAACTACTTGTTTTTCAAAGGACGGAGTGCATCAACCTGCGAAAGGCCGAAAATTGCGCACTATAATATCAGATCTATTACTACTACTACTTCCCCTGTAAGAATGAGTCTACTGTGTCTTTGGTATACTTGATCTCTAGCTAGCTAATTCTCCGAAAGTCAAATGATTCATTGATACTATCTTCACACCTCGACTAGATCAACCATCGATCTTGCGCTAAACCCACTTCCCCGGAATATTGTCTGTACAAGCACAATCTCATTATAGACAACACCTTCCCAAATCCCATCTTGCACCAAATATCTCTAAGTGTTCGTAGGAACATGGGCAGGGTAGCGATCGCCCGCCGTCGTAAACTTGGCCAAGGTGGCATCCAGCTCCGCCATCTCCTCGTCCGTGATGTCCACGAGCTTGCTGTTCTCCTCGACGCGCTCCGCCGTCGTCGCGCCGGGGATGGGGATGATCGTGGGCATGCCGGGCCGTCGCGACAGCGCCCGCGTCCAGTTGATGGCGAGCTGCGCCGGCGTGCAGCCCTTCTTCTGCGCCATCGCCTCCACCTGGTGCACCAGCTGCAGGTTGATCTCGAAGTTGCCCGGCTGGAAACGCGGGTAGTGGCGCAGCATCGAGTCCGCGGGGAGATCGTCGAACTTCTTGAACTGGCCCGTCAGCATGCCCCGGCCGATCGGCGAGTAGGCGACGATCGGGATGCCGTATTGCGCGCAGGCCGCGGCCACGCCGTTCTCCAGGGGTTCTGTGGAGAATCTGTTTGGTAGGCGGTTAGAGGGAAAGAGTATGAGAAACATGGTGGTGTAACAGGGAAGCACCTACAGCGAAAGCTCGACCTCCACCGCCTCCACCTTCCCATGTTTGACGGCCTCGTGAATCGTCTCGGCGCGGACCTCGGACAGCGAGATGCCGCCGAGCTTCCCGGTCTCGATGTATTCCTTGTTCATGACGCCGAAGGTGGTCTCAATGGGCACGGTCTGGTCGCGACGGGCGAACTCGAACAGGTCGATCGTCTTGCGGCCCTTGAGCTGGGCCGCGCAGTCGTCGAGGGTGCGGCGAGTACCCTCGGGGCTGCCGTCGGCTTTGAACGTCTTCATATTCATGCCACCCTTAATGCTGAGGACGACCTTGTCGGCGTCTTCGGGGTACTTCTCGAAGTACTGCTCCAAGAGAACCAGGCTGTTGTACTCGAGAGGTCCGTAGAACTCGCCACCGTTCCAGAAATTGCCTTGCATCGAAGGTAAGTACATTGCCAGGGAGATGTTCGAGCCAACGAACAGGCCCTTAGGGTCACATACATCCATTCTTCAGAGCGGTGCGCATGGTCTCAAAGGCCTGCTCCTGGGAGCATGGCTTGTCGCGCCAAGTCAAGCCCATGAGGCCGAAGCCGATCGGGCCTACTTCCTTGCCGTTGAGTTGGGGCATGTTGCAGATTGTGTAAGGTGAGTATGAGGTAAAAAATTAGAGTATCTGGTGATATTGAGAACTGATCGATGTTGATTGGGACCAAGGCTGACGAGCAGATGAAGTATTTATACAGAATCGAGGTCTCCGTAGGTAGCTCCGTAGCTCCGTAGTATCCGAAAGAATCACGAAGATAAGCTTTCTTGATCGTTAGTCCGGCATCTTATCGGCTTTGTTAATCTCCACGCCTTAAATCCGCCCCCGGGCTCGGTCACCGACCCGCTCATCGTGACAAACCTCGCTTGAATGGGACTATTCGGCACCGGTGGGTATTTCCAATGAGTTATCTCGTATAGTGAATCACTAATCCTGGATTCTTATGTCTGGAAAGCTCCCTTTTCTCTCTTGGCAAACGGGCTTAAGGTCACGGACATGGTGAGCCAGCCGTGTTGGTAATAGAGTAAGTTAAGCATGGTGACTACTAGTACGTATACCTGAGCAACCTATCTGTCGTCGACCCCGACCATCAACCGGCCGTCGAAATGAGCATGGGACCAAGTTCAGGCAGCGGAACGGCCCTGACGACGGTCGAGGGACCGGAAGCTGGACGACTTTCCCTGGTTGACCGTTATGTGAAGTAGCATATCGTATCACTCAAAGAATGATCGGTAATATCACATATAAACACTACTTAATGAACCATCTGGTACTTCTATGGTGAATCCAACTGTGGATATCACATGCCGTCGCTGAGTAACCCAACAGAGCTTCCTCGTTTTGAGGTCGGGTGAACGATGGGCAAAGAACACTTTTATCGTCAATGCGATGCGGTTGGCAGCGCGTAGACGATGATGTCTAACTACTCGCAAGACTTGGGTCGCCACGGAACATTATAAGATCACGGATGAGATAGGTGGTAAAATAGGCTATCGAAGAGGAGACCTGTTCACAAAGTGATTGGTTTCAGCTCAGAGCACAAGATCAAGATACAGGTTCCTGGCTCTGAGGCGTGGTTGTTGATATGGTGAAAGCCCGCTGTAAATTTCGGTTCGAGGTGGTAGCCTGGCGTGACGCAGGCATAGATTGAATGGGAGGATAAATCTGCGCTCTGAGGAAACAGATTGAATAATAACAACGGCGACGATTATGAAAGAAAAGTACTTGCAGAGTTCCTGACAGAACTCAAGGGCCACATTTGGACCGCGGGTTTTACAACATTTGGAAGACTGCATGACCACCGCAACGCGGTAGAAGTCAATGAAGTGGAAAGAGCTGGTTATTGGCTGGCATGATGATTCCAGCACCCAAGAATTCAGCGCAAACAGACCCTGTACTATGTAATAATAGATCAGGTACCTCCATTGAGATAAATAACAGGAAGCCCAGTATATTAACAACACCTGGAAGATTGGTGACCCCGTTCTCATATTCAAGGAACCTAGGTGATAAAGAAATAAAAGATAATGATATGATTAGTAGTTCCTGACATCATTTCATCCAAAAGTTCGTCAAAAGATTCTATCTATTTTGTTTGTCCCGTCCCCGAAAAAAAAGATGAAAAGACAAATTGAAACCCCTATACCCCTTTGCCGACCCCGGAACCAACTCCGCTAAGAAGAGCACGAAGGAAGAAACAAAAGCAACGCTACAATTGCACAACATTGTTCATAATCTGGACCTCCTGGCCGGGCTTGAAGGCCGGAAGACCAATGAAGGGACACCCATCACACCGGAAGGCGTCGCCCAGGGCGCAATTTCCGCAGGAGCCGGGCTTGCCCTGCACGGTGAAGTCCAGCTCGTTCAGATCGTCAGTCTGGAGCTTCATCACGTTCAGGGCCTTGTCAGCTTTCTCCCGCTGCGCTTGTTCTTCCGCCTCGAGGCGTGCGGCAAGGCCGCATGTGCAGTCCTTGCAGGCGCGTCTTCTGCGGCCTTTCTTGGGCTGGCACTCGGGGGCTGTTGAATTGAGAGTATTAATTAGCGAGGTGCTTTTGGCAACACGGACGGTGAAGGTGGGGAGTGCACTCACGAGGAATGGGTCTCTTCAGATCATCTTCCGACAACAATTCATCCTCGTCGATCAGTTCGTCGTCATCGCCGTAGTCGGCGTCATCGTTGATGATGCCCATTGCCAGTGGCGGGGCAGACTGTACAGGAGCGGCGGGGGCGGAGGGAGGAGGCAGGAGAGCGGTCTGGGTATTTGTAGCGGCAGCAATGGGTGTCTTCTTGGCGGCGTCCTTCTTTCCGCTCCGGCGGAGGGGGATGGCGAACACCTTGCCTTGGTCGGCCTTCTCGAAGCCCTTGTCCGTCTTGACCAGCCCCGCCAACACCGCTTCCCGCTCCTCAGCCTCTCCGAAGACATTATCCTGAGTCTGGAATTTCGCCCCCGCCTTCATGGAGGGAACCAGCGCGCCGTAGACATTCCGGTTGAGAAGCTGTAGGGCCTCGGAGCGTCGCGTGCCATCGGTGTCGGTGAGGACGAGGACGAGGTCGTATGTGTTGGTGGGGAGGGAGGCAAAACCACCGGCTATGCGGTCGAGCATCTGAAGGTCGGTGGTGGCGCGGTCATAGGTGGTGAAGAGGTCGCGCAGCTTCTCTTCGTGGGTGGCGATGGAGGGCGGCGCGAGGAGCAGGATACGCTGCGAGGAGGAGGGGTTGATGGACTTGACCGAAGGTGGGGGAGCCAGGTCGAAGTCGGGAGTGGTGTCGATGGTCACGAACGAGGGAGCCATTGCGACTGGTCTTCCTGTATTGCTCGTGTTCTGAATATGAAGGAGTGACTGCGAGGAAATAAAACTTGTGCCTGAATATCTGTATGAGTGGTGGTTGTGATGGCAGATTAAATGGGCGTTCGTCTCTGCGTAATCGGCGCTGGAATTCGTTTTTTGGCTGACTCAAAAACCGTCATCTGACTGTGACGTGATTGGTCGGTGAAGGATGTGGCAGAGATTGTCGTTGCGGGTTATCGGATTACTCAGCCGAGATGACAAATCGATACTTGGCTCCGAGGAGATTACTTAGAGGATTGGGCATGCCATTAATGATAAATCACTAGCTTATAGAACAAGTGTCAATTAGAGAGGATCGATAGGTTAGTGTGTATCCTCAGTTCTTTAGGTTGGTCGTACTCTGTCACGGGTGGTGCTGTTGCATTCCTAATCGCCATGCCTCTCTGCCCCGCAGTTCTGAGAACATCTTATCTTCTATCGATGGTTCTTCCAACCTCGAGGGGCTGTTCTGATATCGTTTCTACTGTTCACACTGATCTCTTAAATATAGCTCACTTCTCTTACTTGGCATGATTATTGTCGTGAAGGCATCTGAGCCGGATTATCATCACTAATGCGAGGTTCCCTATGGTCCTTCATCCTCGTGTTTCCCCGCTTGTTCTAATGATGTCACTGATAACCGAGCAACTCAATTGTCTCACTTGGAGGTTGCCACTGATGTGATGGAAAATGCTTAGAGTCCCATGTTGAGATATCTGAGAATATCAAGGGAGGAACAGATGATGTCTTAGTTTTTGCTATACTGTTTACAGGGAAGTACAGTACAATCATCTGAGGAAGCATTCCAGAGGGAGGCGCTCTCCGCAATCCAGACCCCGAAAGCGGCTACCAAAATCGATATAGTATAGTACTGTACAGTGTAGATGCCAAGCACTATCGGCCTGTTTCTGCCTTGCCTTGCAGACAAAGACTGTGATCAAGTTCTCTGACAAGGTGTAGGAATTACTTACCCACCACTCATTATAGCCACTGGAACTGATTGTGTTGTATGCTGAGTCCATGGGTAAATGTATCTCTCAGCCTGGTTAGAGAGGATGGTCAATTGATCTAAGTTCCATTGTAGGCAAGACATAACAAACAGGTATAGTCGATGGACATATCCATGATCTGGCCAATTACCCATCCGGTCAATAGAGTTGTGATACCCCGGATTGTCAGTAGTCAGTAGCATGCAGCACTGTGCCCAGAGGGCTCAGCTGACTCGGATATGTCACCGGCAGGGTGCCTGGCCGTTCCTGGCAACTCCTCCCACCTCCCCGGACCACCTCCGCCTCCTGCTGCTCGTCTCCTCTTTAAACAAACCTTCCATCTCTTTGCTTTCTCCATCTTCCTCATTTCCAATTCTTGCAATCAATTAACCATCCCGTCTACACACTCGTCCCTTCTGTTTCGTTGGAACGGTATCTCCATCATTGAGCTCTTCCATCCTTCCACTCACACCACCCCCCAATCTAGACCCGCGGCGATGGGTGGAGACATGCCCCGACAAGCTCCCAGCGTCCTTCCCCGGACTCCCCAAGGCCCCGTCGGCCAGCGCATTCAATCCATCTACACCGACCGTCTCAAGCAATTCACCGCCACCGGTCAATACGAGGACCAGAACCTTCTCTCGTGAGTTTAATTTCAAGGTCCTCTATAATTTTATCACAGCAGTCCCTTTGTTGACACTACAATTCAGCAAATTCTACGAGGCTGTCAACTCCGACGAAGACCATGTCAAGCTTTCCGTATACTCCGTCCCCGACCTGCAGCGTCCACCCTTCAAGGAAGCCACCTCCCATGAATTCAAGCCCACCCACATTGGGGCCTCATTCGGTCCAAGCTGGTCGACCCATTGGTTTCACATCCGCTTGACTGTTCCCAAGGACATGCGCGACAAAGAACGCCTGGAGTTCCACTGGGATGCCAACAACGAAGGCTTGATCTGGTCGGAAGATGGCCGGCCCTTGCAAGGTCTCACCGGTGGAAATGAACGCATCGAGTGGATCATCCCCGACGCCTGGCGCGACGGAAAGGAACATGTCTTTTACATCGAAATGGCCTGCAATGGCATGTTTGGTAACGCTCCCGGTGGAGATTCCATTCAGCCTCCCTCTCCCGACAAATATTTCACCTTGAGTAAAGCTCAGATCACCGCGGTGAACCTTGAAGCACGGGCGTTGTTTTATGATTTCTGGATCATCGGAGGTATGCTGCAAGCCCCTAAGCTTTTTGTCCGATCCTGCCTTTTGTCTTGCCTCACACTAATTTGGGATTGTGCTTAGATGCTGCAAGAGAGTTCCCAGGAGATTCTTGGGAAAAGCATGAGGCCAACATGGTGACTAACGCTATAATTGATGCTTTCATTGCGGGCAATGGGAGTCAAGAGTCCATCAAAGAGGGCCGCAAGATTGCGAGGAAGTATATCGGAGACAAAGTCGACTCTTCGCAGGTGTATGACACCGACACGGACCCGATCGTCTATGCAATTGGTCACTGTCATATCGACACCTGCTGGCTCTGGCCTTGGGCGGAAACAAAGCGTAAGGTGGCCCGTTCTTGGTCGAACCAGTGTGATCTGATGGATCGCTATCCGGAGCATCGCTTTGCTTGTTCCCAAGCACAGCAATTCAAGTGGCTGAAAGAGTACTATCCCTCGGTGTTTGACCGCGTGAAACAATGGGTCAAGAAGGGTCATTTTCAGCCCATTGGTGGCAGTTGGGTCGAGCACGACACTAACATGCCAAGCGGCGAGTCATTGGTGCGACAGTTTCTCTATGGACAGCGCTTCTTCCAGAGTCACTTCGGAGAACGTTGTACCACCTTTTGGCTGCCAGATACCTTTGGCTACTCTACGCAGATTCCTCAGCTTTGTCGTCTGGCTGGTATGAGCCGGTTCTTCACCCAGAAGCTCAGCTGGAATAACATCAACAACTTTCCCCACACTACCTTTCAATGGGTAGCGCTGGATGGAAGTCAGGTTATGTGTCACATGCCTCCATCCGAGACTTACACTGCGAGCGCCCACTTTGGCGATGTTAAGCGCAGTGTGACTCAGCATAAATCGCTGGACAAGGACAATACATCGCTCCTGGTGTTCGGTAAGGGTGATGGTGGAGGTGGCCCAACCTTCGAACATCTGGAGAAGTTGCGTCGTTGCCGCGGAATGAGTGACAAAGTGGGCTTGCTTCCTCGCGTGAAAATGGGGGAAACCGTCGACGACTTCTTTGCACGACTCGAAAAGAAGGCGGAAGCTGGCACCAAATTCGCAACTTGGTATGGCGAACTGTACTTTGAGCTCCATCGAGGCACGTACACTACGCAAGCCAACAACAAGCGAAATAACCGCAAATCTGAATTCCTGCTCCGGGAGATCGAGTACCTTGCCACTCTGGCATCTCTTCATAGCGACAAATGTTATCAGTATCCTAAGAAGGACATTGATGACATGTGGGAGGGTGTTCTTCTCTGCCAGTTCCACGATTGTCTTCCCGGAAGCTCCATCGAGATGTGCTATGATGACTCGAACAAGCTCTATAAGCAAATCTTTGAAACAGGTCAGAAGCTCAGAAAGGAAGCGCTTGAGGCTCTGGGAATCGGCAAGACGAAGACTAGCAAGGAGTTCATAGCACTCAACACACTACCTTGGCCACGTTCCGAAATTGTCAGAGTTCCCTCTGAACTTGTAGCTTCGAGCGGCCCCATGTATACCTTGGCCAGTGGCGAAACTGGCCTCATTCGATGCCAAGCCCCTGCTCCTTCCAAGGCGGTTCCTGCTGTTACAGTCACCGAAATTGAGCCTGGTGTCTTCCGTCTGGAGAATGCGAACCTCAGAGTCGATATTCAGAACGGTGTGATAACGTCTCTGTACGACCGTGAGGCGGATCGTGAAATCATCCCTAAGGGCGAGAAGGCTGGGCAACTGGTGATTTTCGACGATAAGCCTCTTTACTGGCAGGCTTGGGATGTGGAGGTCTTCCATCTCGATTCCAGAAAGGAACTGCACTATGGAAAGACGACCATTTCCGAGAAGCATCCTTACCGTGTCAGTGTCGTTAGTGAAACTCAGATCAGCGAGAATAGCTGGATCAAGACCACCATCAGTCTTACTGCTGCGAACGGAGACCAGCCTTCCTACGTCGAATTCGAAAGTGAGGTCGAATGGCGCGAGACCATGAGATTCCTCAAGGTCGAGTTTCCCGTGGACATCACTAATACGGAGGCGTCGTATGAAACACAATATGGAATCATCCGGCGTCCGACGCATTACAATACCAAGTAAGTTGACTATATCTACAACAGAGTCGAAATCTATCACTAACCTCTCACTCAGCTGGGATATGGCCAAGTTTGAAGTATGCTGCCACAAATGGGCTGATTTGTCCGAGTACGGCTATGGAGTGTCAATCCTCAACGACTCCAAGTATGGCTTCGCCACTGCCGGCAACCTGATGCGTCTCTCGCTGCTGCGCGCCCCGAAGGCGCCAGACGCCCACGCAGATATGGGCCGGCATCACATCCGCTATGCCATCCTCCCCCACGCAGGACCACTGGATGCGCGCACAATCCGAGCCGGGTACAGCTTCAACCACCCTCTTGTCCTCGAGGCGGCAAGCGGCCTTGAAGCCGGCGACGCGTTCAAATCGGTTGCGCTCTCCGGAAACTCGTCTCTCGTCATCGACGTGATCAAGCGTGGCGAAGACGACGAGGACGTGTCCCGAGACAATCTGCCTCGGCGCTCCGGCAAGAGTGTCATCCTCCGTATCTACGAGTCGCTCGGAGGCAAGAGCCGCGGCACCATCCACACCAAGCTCCCCATCGGCAAGGCCTGGAAGTGCAATGTGCTCGAGGATGACGAGACGCCTCTTGCGCTGGTACAGCGTGCCGATGGCACCACGGATATTGATATCGAGCTGAGAGCCTTCGAGGTGGCGACGTACCGTCTCCAGCTGTAGTTTTTGTGCGTTGTGTTTTGTTCATTAGTGTCAGCCACATTGTAGTGTCAATTGTATCAGACCGCCGCACAATGGAAAACATATTGCTTTTTTTGTCTTTTTTTTTGGATCAAAGATATTGCTCCTGATAAATAGTCAAAACATGATCAACACCAACAATGCTAAGTATAGTTATGGTACAGTACAAGAGGATATCACGAAGTAAGATACAGTCCCCACACGCCGCAATGATGAACACTTAAAAGTCAGTCAGTCATCCTTGCCACACCAAAAAAAAAAGAAGAAGAAAGAGCAAATCAAGCTTGTATTCTTTTCCGCGCCCAAAAGCTCCACAAACAAAACTCCCAGGAACAGCAAACCCAGACCATCCATAATCCGCGAACCCTAATCCCGCCCATAAGTGATCTTCAACCGCTTCGTCGGCGGCCGATCCCCATCCGTCGCCTCCTCATCGTTATTGTTGTCTTTGTTACTATTATTTGCGGCGGACTTATCCTTATTCGCATTGCCGCCGCCGGATTTCTTCTTGTTCTTGGACGATTGGCCCTTGACGCTGTTCGCCGCGGAGGAGGCGTCGCCATTGTTGCCGGGTTTACCGGTCGAGGAACCGTTGTAAGTGGAATTGGGCGTGGGGGCGTGCGAGGGGGTGGTCTGGGCGGATGATGGCGCGGGGGAGTCCTGTACCAACAGGGGATAGCGGGTTAGCATTTCGTGCACTCATATCGCTTACAAGGGGTTTTGAGGGGGGGAGAGGGGCGAAACGAACCCGCATATAACTCGCAGAACTCCTCGAGAACACGCGATCCGCCTCCGTGACGGGCGCCTTCCGTCGCGCACCACCGCCGCCGCCGCCGCTGCCTCCACCGGAACCACCACCTCCGCTGCCACTTCCCCCTCCGACCCCGGAGGACAGCGAGAGTCCCCCCGCGCCGAGTCCGCCGCCGGTCGAGGACCCCTTGATGTAGTTGTCGAAGCCCTTGATGATGTTGCCGGCGGTGGTTTCTTCGAGGTAGGATTGTTCGAAGCGGTAGATTTGGTCTTCGAGTTGGGCCTGGTTTCGTTTGTTAGGACTTTTGCCCGAGGGGGTGAGTGTTTGGGGGGAGGGGAATGGGGGGCCGGGAATGGGGGTAAAGTAAGGTGGGCGGACGTACCATGCTCTTGTCCATTAGCCGTTTCTTTTGCAGTGTGTCGCGCAGTTCGCGGCGGAGTTTCTCGTAGTATGGCAGGCCGCGGTTGGCGGTTGAGGTTGTTGTGGATGCTGATACTGATGCGTTTGCTGTTGCGGTTGCTGCTGTTTGTGCTGCGGCTGGGGCTGGGGTTGCGGCGGTTGGGTCAGTGGTGGAGGGTGCGGTGGCTCCGTTTGTAGTTGTTGTTGTGGTTGTCGGTGCTGGCGGGTGGGATGCGGTGGCTCCGGGGGTGCCTGGGGTTGCTGGGGTTGGTGCGGGCGCGGGCGCTGCTGTTGTTGCCGGTGTTGTGGATGTTGTAGTGGGGTTCGTGGCCGCATTGGTGTTGTTGGTAGTGGTGGTGACATTGGAGTTGGGGTTGGAGCTGGAGTCTGCGCTCAATTGCTGCGTGATGTCTCGGAGGTGCGAGGGTGTCGTTGCTGCGGCTGGTGCCGCGGTTGGAGTTTGAGAGGACGTTGGAACTGAGCCTCCTGCTGCTGCAGTTGAGAAAGGGGCGGGTGAGGCCATGTTTGCTTCCAGGAGGGAGGCTGTGACGTGCAATCCGGTGCTGGGAGGTGTGGTTTGGATGCGACCTCTGAGGTGGTCAGTCGCGGGCGCGAGGGCTCTGTTCGGGTTGAATCGTGCTTTTCTTGGTAGAGGTAAGGGATGAGCGCGACACTAATGTAGAGGATGGCGATGCTGGTCGGTGAGCAGTTGATTCTTGATTCAATGGCGCGCGGAGTCGACTGAACTGTGAAGGGTATCGGAATGGATGGATGGGAATGATTGTTGCGGCGGATTGAAGATCAATTGCTCGGCAGGCCTTATCAATAAGGGCTGTTTGGCTAGTTTGCATCTGGGGCGGAGAACGGACGGTTTGTTGGTTTGTTGGTGAGTTACTCCGATAGGCACTTAAGTTACGCCATCCCTCACTTCCTTCATCCCTCTTCTCACTTCCTGGCTCACGGCTTTTAAGTGCCAATTTACCTTGGTTGTATCTGAACAGTGTCGACATTCCACAGATCTGCTGCTGCATCGCTGCTCTGCTGGGCAAGTCGTTTGTACAAGCTGACACCGAACTTGGCTCTTGCATCTCACAGCACCCAAGATGGATCATTCGATGCACCATATGGGGATGGATATGGACCATGGCCATGACCACGGTGACATGGACATGGGACAGTGTAGTATGAATGTAAGTTCGAAGATCACTTTTCTTCTTCTGATGTTCCACCATTTAAGAATCACCCGGCGATATAATTGCTTTTCTCCGCCCTGCCCTAAAACAACCCTGCTAACGCTCCCTAGATGCTTTTCACCTGGTCTACAAAGAATCTTTGCATCGTCTTCCCGCAATGGCGTGTCACCGGCACCTTGTCTCTACTCATCTCACTTCTACTCATCGTGCTTTTGACCGCCGGCTATGAGGGCGTCCGTCAGCTTACAAGACGCTTCGAGGTGGCACATGCGAAGAGGCTCAGCGCATACACAACCGCCGCAGTCGGAGGTAAGTCTGATCTTTCGTTGCTTCTGCTATGCTGGCGGCGGAGGGGAACGGCATCCGGGATATCTTGTCGTCTCTTTTATAGTCATGGGTTGTATGCATGCCTTTGCTGAGATGACGCGCCTGACAAATCGCTTGTTGAGTTGAAGGCAGCGAAATCCACGACGATTCTCCGCCGGCCAATGACCCTCCCAGCCAGACACTGCCTGTCCCAAACGGTGGCTCACAGCTCGTTGTAGGTAGGGATAGCCGAAAGTCCGTCGAGCAGCGAGGAAAGATTACCATGGCGTCATTGTATGCTGTGCAGGTCTTCTATAGCTTTTTCATTATGTATGCTCCCTGACTACCCTCCTATCGACATGGACTGATCTGAGCTGCATAGGTTGCTTTTCATGACCTATAATGGCTTTGTTATGCTAGCTGTCGCTGTCGGTGCCTTTGTAGGATATCTGGCTTTCGGAGACGACACCTCCGCTAGCAAGACGGTTGCGTGTCACTAGATGGGGCGCGCAAGCTGGGTAGCTTGGTTTCCGAAAGGCTCTCTCAAGGTTGATTGAGGGAAGGGTGTCACTGGGCTGCGTAATCCAGGCAATGGTGGCTCAGCACGGTCATTTTCAGACCGTTGCCGATTTCGTTTGTTGCTGCTTCGTATAGGAGGGAATCAAGGGACCTCGATGTCGCTATTATCACCACCGAAGCCAAAGCTGAACCCACCACCTTCGTTGGCATTAGCGCCTTCTTGATCTGCGTTTCCATGAACAATCTCATCCCATTTTCTCTTTTTGCCTTCTGTCTTCCTCCTCAACTCCTCCTGTGCTTGCTTCAGCAGGTCTGGATGCTGTTCTTGCATTTTCGCCAAGAAACTTTCGTAGGGATTCTGTACGTCCTTCCTGAATCCGGAAACCTGATCTGCCTTGTTAGACAGAAAATCGAGGGCAGCGCTCAGGTGCGCGCGGGGAATGAAGTTTTGCGTGATAGCAATAGATGGCACAATATTCACGACCAAATGCCACCATCCCGAAGGCACATGAAGGATCTCTCCCTCCTTGCAAATGCCCTCAACGCAACCTGGTGTGCGCCGGGCCTCAGCGTGGAACTCAAACAACCACTCGGCAATACTGAGGGGAGAGGTCACCTCACTCTGATCCTCGGACACGAAGACTCCCGGCGGAGGCGGGAGCTTGGACGACGAAGGGAACATGATCCAGTACTTGGAGCCGCGAATAACCGCGTTCCACGCGCTGGTGGCATTTGGGTCTTTGTGGAAAGTACTTCCAGACCGTTCGGGTCCGACAATCAACCACTGTCGGTCGGGCCGATCATTGCCCAGCACGGAGAAGAAGTCCTCGCCAAAGCAGGCAAGCGGCCAATAGGCGGCCTCGGGTTCCTGATCGAGCTGTCCGACCTTAAGTCCCATCTTTGACACAAAGGCCCGGTCGAAGAGATACAGCGGGCTCTCGTCGGAGTTGTTCTTCATATACTCGACGTAGCTGTAGAATGGCCAATCCACGGCCTCTGCGCGAAAGACGGTCTCGCCGTAGTCGTAGAGCAAGGAATCCATGGTCCATTTCTTGTAGACAGGCCATTCCTTGACGGGCTCGGTCAGGACGAACGGCGTATCGGACCATTTCTCGTTGAATTCTTCGAAAGAGAGATCGGGCAAGCGGGCGATCTGGTTGCGGGCGGGGATGCCGGTGACGTAGGGATCGAGACTGATATGCGCGCAGTGAAAGGGCCGGTGCAGGACATCGGAATACAGATTCGAACAATCCAACACGCACACTTCCGTGGGGGGGATGTTCAGGTAGCTGGAGCGCCATGTTCCTTTCCAGGTGAATTTGGAGGGAGGTGATCTGGCGTTGCATGTCAGTGCTAAGCTTGCGGGACACTGCTGAAGGGGCCATGTCCTGCGAGGCAAATCGTCGTTGGCGATGCAACCTATTGCAGTGTGGTATCTACAACGTACGCGACAAACAGAGCCTTCCACAGCTCTTCAGCTCGGGTGAAAGCATAGAATGCTTTACAAGTGCGTCCAATGCGCACCAGACTGGGTCCATCGAGTTGTTCCAGCAGCATCAGTATCAGCTCATCTGGCAGAATGTTGAAGACCCCAATGGCATCCCGAAGGTTCTCCGTCGCAAGCAGGGCATTGCCGCTAGGCTTGACTCCCAATGGATGGCCGGGGATTGCATCGTGGGCAGCCTCGTCCTCCGGTTCAGGATTGGAAATGGAAGTCGAATAGGCACGCGTCAGCGTCTCCTGGTCTAGGTCGCGGACGCCGTCAATTGAATTGATGTCCGGCATTTTCATACTTGCGGCGTTTGAGAGGGAAAGAATCACTAAAGTAGAACTAAAAAGTGACAACGCTGGAAATCTGGAGACTTTCCCAATTCGGCGGAGGGGTCGTCGAGAGGCGGTACGGCGCTAGTAAATTTGAGTAACACCCACATTGAGCCCGCTGAGGAGGGGAAGGAATAATAATCAGGCAAGATAATGCCCAACCATGCACCGTACCGAGGAATACCCGTTCACCAACGCGAAAAAGGTAATAGAGAGTAGAACATAAGCAATTCCATTACAGTGCCAATACAGTGAGTGAGTGACCTAGGCCCTCAACTCATAGAATGACCCCTAAGTGAACTTGGGAGAGTATTGTGGTTGGACGTAATGAGTGGTCAGGGTCAACTAAAACGCGTACGGCAGAATACAGGGGCGAGAAAAGAACGTGGGTTAACTGCCATAGACAGTAGGCGGTCAGGTTCGGCTGCACTAAACCAGCGCTAAAAGTCAAGAAAAAATCAAACAGCGTCAGAACAAACAGAGCCAGCCAGAGCAGGGAAGAATGAAGGTAAAAAAAAAAAAAGAAAAAAAAGAGCGTGAAAAAAAAAGTTCGCTCGTTCCGCCGCCGGTTTTCCCTGCCCCATTTTCCCACACCAGGCGTTGGCCTTCCACCTTGATCTTTCTTCTCTTCTTCTTCCCAACCCCTACGACTCTAGTAGTCTTGTGATATTTTTTTCCAACTTCAAAAGTTGTGATCTCGGTAGGTCTCCATCTCTCCATCTCACTGCTACTTTTTCTTATCTTTGCGCCTACCCCTCATCGTCTACCTCTGCATTCCTCGCTAACAGGCATCTTTTTTTTTTTCAGTTTTATTTCCCAAACCCCACCGTCTTTTTCGATCACAGCACATCGCTTGTGATCACTTCTTTACAACAACACCGCAATCATGGCTTCTAACGACAAGGGCTTGGAGGAGATCCCCGAGGGTACGTTCTTTTCGACTACTTTCAGCTGCGAATGTTCTTGTTATCTTTAAGAGAGATGTATGCCTGGGAGGCAGGGTTGTTTCGGTCACCCCGCTAGAGGCTTTGGCTAGAATGATGGAAAATTTCTTGCAACTACGGGCACGGCCATGGGAAGAGGCTGTAACAGATGAACTAACGAGAGACTTCGACGACAACAGGACAGATCGAGTCTAACTACGATGAGATCACCGACTCCTTCGACTCCATGGACCTCAAGCCCGAGCTCCTTCGCGGTATGTGATACAAATTCTGATCCGCTCCGGTGGGGTCAGTGCGGGCACCAGACTGACGACAATCAGGTATCTACGCTTACGGTTTCGAGCGTCCCTCTGCTATCCAGCAGCGTGCCATCATCCCCATCATCAAGGGTATGCTTGAAACGACTTTCTAATCATCGCCGATCGCATATTTGGATACTAATCGTCTTTCCAGGTAACGATGTCATTGCTCAGGCCCAGTCCGGTACTGGAAAGACTGCCACTTTCTCCATCTCCGCTCTCCAGAAGATCGACCACAACCTCAAGGCCTGCCAGGCCCTGATTGTCGCTCCCACCCGTGAGTTGGCTCAGCAGATCCAGAAGGTTGTCATCGCCATCGGTGACTTCATGAACATTGAGTGCCACGCCTGTATTGGTGGTACCAACGTCCGTGACGACATGACCGCTCTCCGCAACGGCCCCCAGGTCGTTGTCGGCACCCCCGGTCGTATCCACGATATGATCCAGCGCCACGTCCTCAAGACCGACCAGATGAAGCTGTTCATCCTCGACGAGGCCGATGAGATGCTTTCTGTAAGTCCACTTGGTCGCGATGATTGACTGGTGATGCTAACGGCATCATTAGCGTGGTTTCACCGAGCAGATCTACGACATCTTCCAGCTCCTTCCCCAGTCCACCCAGGTCACCCTGCTCTCTGCCACCATGCCCCAGGATGTCCTTGAGGTCACCACCAAGTTCATGCGTGACCCCGTCCGTATCCTGGTCAAGAAGCAGGAACTTACCCTCGAAGGTATCAAGCAGTTCTACATTGCCGTTGAGAAGGAGGAGTGGAAGCTCGACACCCTCTCCGACTTGTACGAGACTGTCACCATCACCCAGGCCGTCATCTTCTGCAACACCCGCCGCAAGGTCGACTGGCTCACCGACAAGCTCACTGCCCGTGACTTCACTGTCTCCGCCATGCACGGTGACATGGAGCAGGGCCAGCGTGATGTTATCATGAAGGAGTTCCGTTCCGGATCTTCCCGTGTCCTGATCGCCACTGACCTTCTGGCCCGTGGTATCGATGTCCAGCAGGTTTCCCTGGTCATCAACTACGATCTCCCCGCCAACCGTGAGAACTACATCCACCGTATCGGTCGTGGTGGTCGTTTCGGTCGTAAGGGTGTTGCCATCAACTTCGTCACCGCTGACGATGTCCGTATGATGCGCGAGATTGAGCAGTTCTACAGCACCCAGATCGAGGAGATGCCCATGAACGTTGCTGGTAAGTTTCCTTCCGTCCTACCGTCTGGATGATTCTAATAGGCTGGCAGACCTCATCTAAACACCTTAATTCCCGAATCACCTCATGCCCCTCGATGCGGATTACGAATGCAGTTGCCAATAACGCTCCAAGGGTGAGCTGCGGTGGGAAAGACGTTCTGTCGTCATGCTTATCTTGGTAAAGGAGAATCCTTCAAAAAGTGGCTTTCTGTGTCTCCAGCATTTTCTCTTTTTAGCAGTGGGCGGCAGGGGCCTGCAGTGGCCATGCCATCATGTCCTGCGTGTTCTTGTCGAATACTTACTGTTTATGGTTTTCCTTTTTCTTTTTGTTATGGAGATGCGACAACGTTCGTGCGGTTTTATTGCTGTAATTCATGGTTCCTCGCTTCCGGAAACGCCTTTTCTCACGCTTTTTCCCATATGATTTTTGTGCCTTGCTCGCCCCGGCTGGTCGAGGATGTTACGTCCATACTTGATCCGAAGGTCGGGCATCTAAAATGTGATTATTCTCGTTCGACGGCTTTTTTTCTCATTTGCCGCAAGGATGCGGGGAGATGGAGATGATGTGTATGAACCCCTGGCTCCGACTGGGTCTGTATCCCTGTGTTCATTACAATAGACGAGAAAGGTACCGCTTGTTTCGCTATGGCTGCCCGTGCAGTGTGGCGAGTTTGGGATGATACGTTTCTGGCTATTTATCTTGTATGTGCTGTCAAGAGGTATCTATATCTCAGTCAGCTAGTCAGCTGGTCAGTATCCAGTCTTCTAGTAAATTATGCCTCACATTCTTGTATTCCACCTTAGATTCTACCTCCGGCACTCTTTCTTTCTTCCATACACCAACTCTATATCCCTCATTCAACCCTCGGACAGCATAAATCTACACCTCCCTACCCATTCGAACCGAATCCAACTCAACCTCCACACCATCCACGACAACCCAATCCACCACCCTTAATCCTCACCACCACCAACCCACAAAGTACACAGTTCATTCCATTCCGTCAAACACCCTCAGCTCCCACCTCCCTCTCTACAGAAACCTACTATACCATACTCCCCAACCACACCCTTTCCTTTTCCACACTCCAAACCTAAAAATCCACACCCTCTGGACCCCAAAGCACATCCACAAACCCCCCCACCCAAAACACGCAATCCCAATGCCATCAACCACAACCACAACCACAACCACAACCCCGGGAAACCCGGGCCCCCCACCAGCCCCAACAACTGATCCTGCTACTGCTGCAGTGACTACAGCAGCACCAACAACAACACCAACAACCCTCCTCTGGGCCTACGAACTCCGCCGCGAGAACATCGAGCTCGCCGCCCGCCTCGCCGCCGCGGAGGCCACTATCGCTGCCTTGCAGCACCAGCTGAAGGATGTGCGGGAGGAGTTGCAGGTCCAGGTCCAGGTCCAGAAAGTCTGTGCTCTGAAGGAGAGGGAGTGGGAGGAGATGGAAAGGCGGGTGCAGGGGGTGGAGGATTCGGTGAGGGGGGAGGTTGCGGTGCTGGCGGGGTTGGTGGAGGGGGTGCAGGGTAGGGTTGCAGGGTTGATGACGAGAAGAGAGGGGGGTCTGGGTGGGGAGGAAGGGCGAAAGGATGATGTTTATGGGGAGGAGGGAGTGCTGGTGCCGGATTCGATGTCTGTTGGGGCTGCTGCTGGTGGTGCTGGTGCTGGTGGTTTGGGGTATATGGATGGGGTTGGTGTGAGCGGGGGGTTGCGGTTGGGGATGGGGATGGGGAGAGGGGGTGGGTTGTCTTCGACGGTTGAGGGGGAGAGTGAGAGTACTTCGTGGGAGAGTGGGAGTTTGGATTGTGGTGGTTGTCGTGGTGGTCGTGGTGATGGCTCTGTGGTGATGGTTGCTGGGATGGCTTCACGGATGAGGGGGGAGGTTTGTAAGGTTGCTGCTGCTGCTGTGCAGAATGATGCAGATGGGGCTTTTGGTAGTGGTTCCGGACGCAAGATCAATAGCCAAAGTGTCAGGGACTGGGTTGAGGTGTTGGAGAATCGGGGAATGGTGCGCAAGAGGAAGAGGGCGAGGCGGTTCATACCGATTGTTCCGGCTGATGAGGAGGATGTTCTTATCGCGAGGGCGATGATGGTGGGTCATTGAGCTTAGGGATGATGTGATCATTTAAGATAAGATCTCATTCGAGGGGGTATGTATTTGTATGTGTAAGTGTACATATACTGAATGTTCTCCAAAACCCACTATACCAGTCTCATTCGGTCTAGGTCTCGGCGTACCGGTAGCGGCCCTCGCGGTCCTGCACCTCAACCTGGATCCGCCCCTCCTCGAGCTCCTTGCCGTCCACCTCGATGGACGCCGTCATCACATCCCCGGACTTGACCTCGCCCACGCCCTTGGGCGTTCCGGTCAAGACCAGGTCGCCCTTCTCGAGGGTCATGACGCGCGAGATCTCGGCCAGGAGGCGCGGGATGCGGTAGAGCATCAGGCCGGTCGAGTCGGCCTGGCGCTCCTCGGCGCCCACGCTCAGGCGCAGGAAGGCGTTGTGCGGATCGGGCAGACGGGCCTTGGTGATCTCCTGGGAAATGGGCAGGAAAGTGTCGAAGCCCTTGGCGATCGTCCAGGGGAGTCCCTTCTTCTTGGCCTCCTCTTGGACATTGCGGGCGGTCATGTCGATGCCGAGGAGGTAGCCTAGGCATCACACAGGCAACGCTTAGCCAGGTGCTTTTCGAGTTGTGGATTGTGGGGGTGTAGACTCACTGTGGATCGCATCCAATGCGCCCTTGCTGTCCTCCGGGTCAAGGTCCCGCACCGTCTTGCCCATCACGAGGGCGAGTTCGACTTCATAGTGCAGCTTGGTACCCTGCGGGCGCAGGACGGGACCCTGGCCGGGGAGGAGAATGGAGGAAGAGGGCTTGAGGAAGAAGAAGGGCTGCTTGGGCTTGGTGTTGTTGAGCTCGGTAATGTGATCGCTGGAGATGGAAATGTCCGTTAGCCTGGTGAGCGCGGTGATTGAACGGCTCCATTGACAAAGGGACCTTACGCATAGTTTCTGCCAATGCAGATGACCTTTCTGCACTGAGCCTTGATCGCGGACGCCATTGTGTTTGTGTGTCAAAATTGTAGAAGTGTAGTAAGAAGAGGAGTCAAGGATGCGATGGCAGGCGGATAAGAATATAATCGGCCGGGGAGGCGGAATGGCTCTCCGCGCTTTTTCATTGCGGAGAGCTCGGATTCTCCGAGGTTCGGAGGTTGGAGCCGGGGGTGGCCCCCAGCCCTGGGGAATACTGGCGTGTCATTTCGATTATTGATTCTTCAGATTGAGATATGAAAATGAGAGATCTGAAATTATACAACGGTTGTATAGAGAAGTGAGTTGGGATATGCGCGATCAAGCATAACCGTAACTGCAACTGCCATGCCACCGCAATGAATGGCCTGGATTGAAATGGACTTTCTTACGTCACGCGGGCTGCAGGTGAGCAGCTGCTCTCCCAGCCGCCTTCCACCTTGTTGACATTGTCGCGACACAACCCCGGTCACAAATAAGCGCAGTTGTTGATAACTTACCCTCATCACCATGCAAGTAGCGGAAATCCTCTCCGATCTCACCTCTTTGCGCGTCTGTGTATGTTTTGTGCCTTTCATCCAGCCGCCTGTCGACCAGACAAGAACTAATGCCTTGCAGGATTACAACGACGCTCTGGCACTCGTTACCATTCAAGAGAGATTGGATTCTCACCCTGACGAGAAGCAATCACAGCCCAGCACCAGAGAAGAAACACCTGCTCTGCAGCAGGAAAAGGACCAGCTACGCCAAGCAAAGGAACTAGTCGAGCTACATCATGACTTCAAGGCTCGGCATGCTTTGGGGACCGTGGATGAAGGGCTGGCCAACTTGAGGCAAGACGTTCAACGTGTCTTACTGGAGCTGAGGCCCCGCGCAACGCTACCAGAATGAAAGAAAGTACATAGCACAAATACCAAGGTCTAATGTGGGGCTGTACTGCGAGGCGCTTGCAAAGCTTTGTGTTCTATGTCCCATCTAATTCGGACACTTTCAGTGAAAATAACGATGGCATTGACCTGGCCCATCACAGAGTTTCCACGCGTGCAAGTCATAGGATCGCTCACGAGGCAAGCGAAAATGGCGGCGGGTTTTTGGGCAAGAGATATCCGTGCTCAACACCCGAGTGACCATCATTGTACCAGTCAGAGACCGCAAGTCACCCGTAATCCATTTACTGCATGCGGCACAATAGAAACAAGTTCTACACCAGTCCCGCGTCCAGTATCTCTCGGAGTCAAAGTCCCTGTGAGGGCAGGTAGGAATCCGCTTGCACCAGATCGCAAATGGCGGTACCTTGCGAAATCTATAGTGGTAGTATGTCCTGACCACGAGACTGTCTGCGCCCTCGGACGAAATTGTCATCTCCAGGCTGCACTCGATTTGGGCTTGTGGGGGTGTAGAGCACGTGTGCGTCAGGATACGGTTGCCTCGATCGTCGTGCGCAACCTGGTATCGCCCATCGGACTCATCCCCGAGTATGGGGTATCGCCGATCTTGTTCCGCATGCTGCCTCCTGAAGTGATCTTACCAGACGTAACATCCCGCAAGGCGTGAGGCTAGTGCAGGCGCAAAGATCGAGAATCCCGGCGAATGACGCACACCTTCGCTCAATGGATGGCGTCTGATCCCGAAGCCGCCGCGGGAATTCTTTTTGAGGGTGTAGTTTGAGGCAGGCTGCGCAATATCTCCAGCAACGATTCTCAAGCAGAAGGAGGAACTGGTTCCGGACCACATGTTTCTGGTTCAGGGAGATCAAGGGATTGAGATTCTTCAGCAGTCGCGGAAAGCAGAGCGCCTCATCCTTCAGCACGTACGTGAAACAGTTGTAGAGAGGCTTGCAGGTTAGCGCAAAGCAAGGCTGCGAGGCAAGCGGGAGGTAGAAGAATATTCTCAGGACGAGCTCGAGAGGCAGGCTGAGCAAAGTGCGCACAAGGCTAAGCACGCTTGAGTAGAGCCCGTATCTGGCTGAGCATTAGTCCAAATATCCCGAAACGAAATACCTGAGGGGGGCTAGGAAGGAAGTGAGTTAGGTTAGCGGTCTGTCAGCAGAAGCTTAGTTTGCCTAGTATTTCCTCAAAGTTGACAGTATTCAGGATCCTTTGGAGCGAGCGATCGGCTAGATCAGTGTCTTGACTACGGAAAGATATAGTGTCGAGACGTTTCTTTTGGCTGAGCGCCGAGATACTCCATCATTCATACTTAATAGCTTCACCGCCTGGTAGGCCGTTTGGGGAGCTTCGGCGGTCAGTCTCGCAATGAACAGGCAGAATGAAACCCTGTTGGGGATAGCTAGAGCGTTGAGTATTAAAAGCAAGTACGTACAGGACAGATCCATTTTGACAGGCGAAGGCAATGACCTCTGAGGTTGTCCGCGCATTTCCGACTATTGAAGGAGTTCCGGTTCTCGAGATCACAGTATAAACCATCTTCTTAGTACAAATGAATCAAACAAGTACCATAGTCTCAACCCTAAGCCTCCTTGATACTCCCGAGAAAAGTGGAACAAAGTAGGCGTAGTAAATTCGACTTCAGAATCGAGCACACCAAATCAAGCAAGTACCGTCCCTAGCGGAGAGGGCTAAGGTCGGCCGATTATCGTCTGTTTTGTTAACACAGTGAGTGCACTTGGCCTTTCACTATTCAACATTTTGACGCTCTTTCGCAGTCTTAGTCCCAAGCTCTCTGTAGGCCGCTGTCGAGACCGACATCAAAAGCCTCTGCTAAAATGTTTACTGCTGTCGGTCTGACAGCGGCCTGCGCGTCGGAAAAATAAATCGGTTTCGCAGGCCGCTGTCGAGACCGATGCCGAAAGCGTCTGGTCAGCAGAGAAATAGAATTTGTATCAATAGACTGAAAAACTCGCAGCGTGCTGCTGCCTGCTTGAAAGAGGAATGAACTTATTGCATCGAATGCTTCATAAGGTACTGCACGATGGAGGTATGGCAGTGATTTGAGGAAGGAGATGGTCACTGAGTCAAGGTATAGGCTGTTTGAATAAGGCATCAGTCTATGAGGTGACGGTAGAAGGAACTTCTGGGGATCGGGGTTAATCTTACTTTTGTGATCACCGGGTCGTTGCGAGGAGATGAGGCCCGGTGTTACTTGTGTCAATTGGATTTCTGGTCGTGGTGTTGAACAGCAACTCTCGAGGCAAGAGTTTTGTGGGGAGCAAGAAGATGGGAAGGAGATAGTGGTTTGTACTCGTGGAGAAGGAATTCATTAGACGTCTCTGGAGATCGGGAACCTCAGTGACAGGGCTGTTTGGATGGTGTTGTATAGGTGAAGTGGAAGGATGTTGATATGGGTGAAGTGGAAGGTTGTAAGAAGGAAGAGGGTAGATGAGGCGAGATACGGGGGATGGAAGTCATTTATGCTAAGGCTGCGGGGCTGACAAGGTCTGACTTAGGTGAGGTATATCTCATCTCCAGCAGTTCTCAGTATTTGTGAACAGCGACAGACGATCTGACTTAAGACTTTGTTGTCAAGATGTTTATTCATCTCTCAGCTCGGGGTTGAGTTTGTATGGAGAAGCCCAAGGAATCAGACCAAACCGAGACTCATAACTGGTATGAGAGTTAGACAAACTCTCTAAAATCTACGTCAACTCTCTGCCAGATGAACAGTGAATACTTGGCTATGCGGTCATCTCACCCAACCATCCACACAACAAGAAATCCCACCTCGTCTATCCTAAGGGCTTGAAGTGAATATCGACAGCACCACCAGTACTATTCACCTCCCAAGCATGTACATAGACAATGCAGATACACACACATGCTCACAAGTACAGCACTATCATCGCAGCAAAGAATCAGATCAGAAGAAGATCACTAACACTAACACAAACAGTCACCGGCACCCTACCGCACATTGACACCTGCAAGGTACAGCACAGTACAGAACACATTCCGCAACTCCACAACCACCCCCCCGCAAATGCACCCCATATCCTCCTCAACAACATGGGCCTAGATGTGACAAGCAAGATTGTTCCACATCCCTCAGTCTGTTACATTCCCCTGACCCTCGAAATTTTAAATCATGACTCACAGAAGCAGCACCCATGACTCCTCAATCTTTTTCCAAAATGCCGGTATCCTGAATTTCAGGGTGCTAGCGTGGTTTTAATTTCCCGAAGGTGGTACAAGGGGACAGGACGGTGCATACAAAGCCGCCTTCTTCAGGAATGAGTGGGCGGTACGGGTGTGGGCTGTAGCATGCAGGAGATGCGATTCAGGCACGGCAATTACACATCCTGTCGGTGACTCGGGCAACGTTGCGAGGTTTCGCAAGGGGTGACAGTACCTAGCCTTGCCCTGGCACGTGTTTCAGGTCGCATTCTTTGAGGTGCATTGACATGTTGAGATACCTGGGGGGGGGGGGGTGGAAGAGGAACATCAAAGCTAACAGTGTATTCATTCGGTAACCATGGAGTCATAAATAGAGGGTCATGAATTGACGCAACCATGCCTATAAACTAACAGTCTTAGAATTCGCTTAGCACGAAAACCACAACGCCTGACATTGAACCTGCAGAGTGCCAACGGGATATCAAGTATAAACAACAGATGTGAAATATAAAAAGAATGAGAGAAAAGAAGCACGCTAATATGACCACCAAAACCACGAAATATAGTGTAGTGTTGACCACATATATCAAGTAATGTAAATGAATATAGAAAGAGTAGGGAAGCGAGTGACTGCTAAGGACTACACCCATGGATCAGTCTGTCCTTGGGTGTTGTATGGACTAACAGGGCCAATGAGTCGGATCTGTGATTTCAGCTGCGAGTGTCGTCGCTCAAGCTTGGCCCCACTGATCTTCTTTCGAGCCCCACCGATAGCACCCAACAGGTGGGAGGTTCCACTGTGGAATGCCTTGATGTAGTCGCGAGTGTTCTGTTGGATCTGGGAGCGGGCCGGAGGTGTCAGAGGAGGTGTGGCCGATGAAATGAATCCTTTCGGTGTTGGCGGGCTCCTCTTTGCATACTTCGGAAACCGCACCTGGCGGCTTTGTCGATAGCTCACACGCTTCTCGCGGCCCGGCTTTTCCCATATGGAAGCCCCATGTTTTGGATAAGGGCTGAGAGGAGCTGCGAGCTGCTTCTTTCGCAGGGTAAGAGGTGGCGGGCACTTCACTCGAGCGCTGACAGTCGATCGCGAGGACCGTGAGGACGCTCCGGACAACCGCTTGCCTGAGCTGGGAAAGTCCATGGGACTGGGTGGCATCAGAGGGCTCACTACCTCGGTGCGCTCTTTTGACAGCGTCCACTCAATTGATGGTGTCTGATTGCGCGGATAGTCCGAAGATACTGTGTCGGGTCGCGAGTCGGGTCGCGAGTCTGGCCGCGAGCTCGGCCGGGCAGTGTCGCGGTCTACCGAATGTTTGGACAAGCGGCGTTGCACGTAAGATCGAATCGAGTCTCGAACATCATGCGCAAGAGCGCGTCCCCCCTTGTCGGACGAGCTCCAGCGACCGCGAGACCTGGAGAAGTCGAAGACCGCGAGGTTCAGTCGACTGCTGCTCTTCTTCCGAGAAGCAGCGGCATGATTGGTGGTACAAGGAGGTAGGGCGGATTGAGGGGCGAGTTCGGGGAAGAAGTCCCATTTCTTCTCGCGGAAATAGTGATTGGGACCGGCTCGCTTGACAGTCCAAGGGGCTGGTCGGTCGACATGATCATCGTGTAAAAAGGTGGCGGTAATAGCCAGCGGTTTAGAGTCCCCATAGTGATCGATGGGGGCGGAGGCGGGAGGATGATCGACTAGTTCGGTCAGATCATCGGACCCTGAGCGAACAAATACGGGGTAGCTCTCGGTGGTAGACACTTCGGAAAAGCGTCGGCTGCCATAGTAACTGGAAACCATGCTGCTGTCGTCGCTCCAGGCGATTGAGCCAGCATCCATGATTGAGGGGGCCTCTGGTAGAGGTTTGGCGGGCAGCTCGGGGAGCGGTTTATCTAAAAGAAAGGCTGGGCGAACAGATGGCGGCTGAGGGATTCGAGGAGGGATGACTTGTTCCAATCCTTCTAAGGACCGAGACGGTCTCACAGGAGGAGCTTCTCGTGGCAGCGCCAACGAGGATGGAGGAAACATGTTGATCGGAGTGGGGTTGGGACTGATTGACGGGCCGATGGGCGGCTAATGAGGGTGGAGTGGAGAGAGTGTATAAACCAGCGAGAGGGGTCACTCAATGAAAGAGAACAGAACTTGGAAGGATTCTCCGATTTCACGGGACTTGAGACGGACACCTCTGACTTGTTCTCTTCCTCCAGGGATGAAACAACCAGTCAAGTTCAGTGAGTAGGTTGGTAATAGTAAGTCACAATTGAAAAGAGAGTCAAGTAATCGAAGGGAGTGGCCAGTGAAGTTGTGAAGAAGAGATAGTAGTAGGCTTAGGCTTTGGCCTAGGCTAAGGCTATGTATGGCCTGAAAACCCGATGGAGCATGCGTTGGACCCAGCAATTGGACCAGACCAAGTCGAGTCGTAATAATAGTTTAGTCAGTCAGGCAGTTTTTGCTTCTTTTATCACCCGTCGCGTGCTGCTCAGTGCACTTTTTAACCTTTGTTGGCGTCCGGGATGACAGGCTGAGAGTCGATCGAGTCAATGATGGCCAGTCCCTTTCACCTTCAACCAGTTGCCGTGGTTCTTCTGCGGGACTGCAAAGGGGTTGCAGATGGTGATAAAGGAAAGGCCAGAACCATAGTTTGTTCAACCCCCCGAATTAGACTGAAAGGAAGGGAAGAAGGAAACGAGGGAAAGAGAAGGAAAGCAAAACGCGGCACACAAGGAATGGGGAGGGAGGATGATAAAGGAGGGGTTAAAAGCGAATGAAACGAGGAGGAAGAGGAGGTTGAAGCAAGACAACAGAGAGAGGATCGGGTACAAGCAGCGAACAGCTCGATGATTGACCGATGATTCTGGCTGCTTTGGCTGCTGGTTGCGATGCGATATGCATGAGGCTGGCTCTAGCGTCGAAAGGGGGATGAAGGCTGCAGCAAAACGAGGCCGCATTATTTATTAGATTTCCATTTAGTATACTATTTTTTTTGATAATTCTTCCTATTCTTATTTTAATCATTGATCATTTATCCATCCATGATCCCTCCAGAACCAGGTCATCCCTAGCTTTGTCCTGCCCGGTTAACGGACGGAGTTTCCCGGATTATGGGCGAGAGCTGAAGATGGCTTGCTGCGGTCCGGAGTAGAGAGTGCTAAACTGTCCCAAAGGGATGGCTAGACCCGCTTGGCTTGTTAAGTTATTGATTGGGGGTTAATCTTGGAGTCGAATTAACCTTCAAAATCAATCAAGAAAGTAAAACCCCGATGTATCTCAAATTGTCGTGGGCAGTTCCTGGTCGGCTGCATGATCATCATGGTCATCATGGGCATGGAGTCATGAACAGCCTCATTGAAGTGACACATCCATGCAAGGGATGGAGCTGGAATGGACCTTGATCGAGATGGGGAGTTCCCTGTTTGCATACGAAATGGCCCGATGGGTGGGTGGTGGTGCAAGTGAATCTCAAGGTGATGGTGATGGTGATGGTGATGGTGATGGTGATGAATCATAACGATGTGATGATAAACAGACTAACGGGAGATGGAAATTGAATACGAAGACCTGAGGAAGCCTAAGAAGGGCTGAGAAGGAAGAGTGTGCTTACTGCTTACTGTTTTTACTGCTGACCTACAGTAGTGCGTATGATGATGTTCTTTTAGTTAGTCCGATCTTCCCCCGTCAAGTCTAGCCCTTTTCTCCGTTGCCCGATAAACATCAATCAGTTCTACTGACTGCAGTGTATGGCGGTACATGCCTTCTTCGTCGCCTGTCTTTTCCACTTCCAACCACATTCCCTCTCGCTTTTTCTCTTCGGCCATGCCGATTGTCAAGAATTCGAATAACATCATCACATAATCTACATTATCCGCTGGTCAACAGCCACTCATGAATCGGTGCCTGACTGCTGCAGCTAGGGCAAAAAATAAGTCAACAAAATGAGACTAAGTTAGACGTCGCTTAGCATGACATACATTTGGACAGATCACATAGCGGTAGGGAGGATCTCCCTGTGGGTTGCCTTTTCCTTCCATTACTCTGCCACGTTATTCTTCCCTCTCAGCAATAATATGTTCGGCCGGTTCTATTCCGACCTCGGAGGAAGAGCCTCCTCCCTCCTTCCCTCGCTTCATTCTTTTCTTTGTTCGTGGCTTAGTACAGAACTAAGTTAACCCCCGTGACACTATCGCCACAACGACACCCGTCCTCTTCAGCCCATAATATTCATTGTTTTAATTCACCAAGGTCTTTCATGGCCCTCGATCGCATCACTACCTTCATCTAGCATGGTGAAATGCTCGTGTCGTTCTCCTTCTTTTTTCTTGTTCTTCGTTACACTGGTCGATCTCCAAATCCTAACCTTTGCCATGCCCGGGATCGACTGGCTGGTGGAGCAATACTTGCAAGGAACTGAGAGATAGTCGTGGTCCAAACATTGACAGGTCATATAGTGCCCGGCTCGTGCCGTTCAATTGACCTCTCTCTTGGGTGTTCTCGTCTCTTTCTATTCTCTCTTCCCCCCTCGTTCTTGCTTGCATCCACAGTTCGTTCCTTCATTGTGAAATCATTAGGACAGCAGTGGTCATCAGCCCCATGGCCCCGAGACGAGACCAGCCATTGTGATTACCTGATCCGTCGGCGCAACATCAAAGGCAACTGTTGTAAATATACAGCGCCACAAATGTCCTTCGCAGCGGACATGCTGTGCAACGGATGCGAGTCGGGCATATTTCGGATGGTGATGCTGAAATGGTGGCCCCGAGTCCCGAGTAGATCACCGATCATCTCCTACGAGACGGTGAACAACGCAGTGAGACCCCTATTCCAGGTTTTGCTGATATCGTGCTGCTGGATGGAGCAAGGCCATGTCCCTCACGACCGAGCAGTCCCGCTCCACTCCTGCACAGCTAAGCTCGACAAGACCATCACCGCTTCCATTATGAACCTTCTAGAACAAAAGAGACTCAAGGGAAGGCCACCAATCGCACAAGTTACTGCTCATGCTTTTAGGAATCAGGCCCACTGGCACCATCGATCTGTTTCAGATATGCCGCCCGGCGGAGGTCGATCTTATGGGGGTCATTATTGCTGTTGCTGCCGAGTTTGGCGGCGGCCCGCCATCCTGAAGATTGGAAGACAGACCGCATATTCTCTTCCTTCACCGTCCACCTGCCAACAATGCTTTGATCGGCACTAGGACCCTCCTGCCTGACATCATCATTGCTCATATTCGTGTTCTTGGTCACATTCAAACCGATACTACCCACCTGCTTTGTAGCTTTTCCAGTACCAAGCATCAAGATGAATTCTTGGACTGGTAGAATGAGTCGGTGAGACTCAGCTAGATGATCAGCAGACGGGAATACGAGGTCAAGGTCTCGGGGGATGTTGGGGACCGCCTGATCGATAGTAATCGCTGCCCGACCTTAGCTGGATACCAGTTGTAAATGCCTCACCAAGCATCTAAGACAGGTTTGACTCGCCGTTTCGGCTGAACAACCTCTCACGGCCTTGTACGCAGTAGCTATCAACATAGGGGAGGGAAAGCAATTGGTCTCGCTATCTTACCAGGCTCGTTTATGTGATCTATCAATGACTTGGCCTAATCAATTGATGAAGATTGACGAAACTTCAAAATCTGCTACACTACTATAATACACCGAAAAGATACGACAATAGGTGCTAGGCAGTGATCATGTGATCAGACCGAGCAATCAGATAGAATGAATGCAAGAACAATCCAAGCACTTCTTCCTATTCCCCGTCTCCACAGTCATTGATCGCCTGCATTTTATATCCGGGGATGGTTTGAGCATCATTGTGAATATTCATCGTGTGTTCTCGAGAGATTCTCACATAAGATGTAAATCTCTATTCAGCGAGAACTTCTCTAAAGCAAGCATGGGTACAATATCAAGACACGAGGTGGTACCTCGCGAGCCAACCATTCAAACATGCAGCTGCCATCTCCGACCCAGACAACAAACATCGCACAACGTTGATGCATCATGCAGGAGGTCTGAAGAAAACCCATCCCATCTCGTGCCGTCATTTCTCGCCCTGCATACTGTCACGAGACTCTTCCGAGAGTGAGCTAGAAGACGCAAGGTCTTCGACAGCCATCTCCTCCGATAGATCAGCGGAAGGTGTCCGAGGCGCACTGTATGGGCAATGATCTCTCCCTACTAGGTAGAGTCTCAAAGCCCTCTCTACCATGATTATCTCCCACTGACAGACCCAATCCTGTCTTTCGGGTTAGGTATCTGATGATCGTACACCAGCCGATGATCCTTTGCCCAGGCGATGGTTCCCCGAAATGACGAGAACCCCGCCGAACCTCTAGCCATCCATGGCTACATGGCTATAAGCTGGATAATGAAATGATACCCCGGCTTTGCAAGAGCCCATGCTCTGGACTCCATTCCTCCTGGAACACTAGCAGAAGCCCTATAGCAGAAGCCCTGTCCCAATCTCACCTCAATAATCATCATCACCAGCTTCTACTATTGATACCTTTCAGTACCAGATACTTACAGCCCACGATCATTGATCCATCTCACGAGGTCAAAGCGCTCATATTTGCAGAGCAAGTCGTACAAAACCCCCAAACATTTCCTGCACTACCACGCAAACACTCTTCAGATCGACATACACATATTCCGGACATAGACCCACGGGGACACCGAGTCAACCAAGAATGACAAATACCGGATCCCCAGAGCTTTGACACCTAACCGAGGCGACCTTCCTTTTTACCGGAGATGTGGTTCATGGCGAGGTTCGCTGGCTGTTCGCAGGAACTAGCGTCAGCCCACGGATACGTGCATTGGAAAGCAATCAACGAGGAGCAGCGCAAAGGGCGCCACCACCGGAGCTTCCACCCCCACCGACTCCAACAGGAAACTTGTTGCGGGTATACTTACAAATCAAGTGCGACCGATGCGCATCGTGCATTTGGGGGAACCTGTCACACCTGGGCTGGGAGTTGGGAGGTGCCCCGATCTCGCGTGGCGCCGTCCGACTTCGGTACGGAGGAGTTGGAGTATTAGAGGTTGTGTGACGGGATTGAGTATTGATAATCGGATTCTGGGTTGCACACTGCTCTAGCGCGGCATCTACGAAGCTTGAGTTATCCTAGTCTGGCTGCTGCGATTTGGACGGTGATTTAAGGAATGTCCTACAGCCTTCAGACAATCTTGCCCTGAGAGATGTCTAACAACTGAGTTATTACTGACCATACCTTGAGATCTGGTTTTCTGTGGGCGTTGGAGCCTCTTGGATGGTCTTCTGCGCTTAGTAGCCTACGTTATGAGCATGGATGCGAGCTAGTGCTATTTGATCTGTGTCACCCCAACAGTCCCAATGTTGAGTCCTGCAGCACGCTATCTTGCTATAATTCCGAACGGGATCAGAACTCCAAATTATCTCCGTCGATGTTCTTCAGCTCCTCACTCATGCAACCCAGCCCGTGGGCAAGAGGTCCAGGTGAAGTCGCTCTGTTGGGCTAAGCATGCGGGGCATCAGAGATGTTTGCTATATGGGATCGACGCTTAGCCGCTTATGCTGGCAATATCATCAGCCGTCTATTCGACCGGACTTGCATCTTGTTCCAATGCAATTGGTCATGTGTCGTCATAATATATGCAGGGGAGGGATGACAGCCCTCAACTGAGCTTAGCAGCCAGCTTCATATCCTCCTTGGTCAACTGATCCCCCTTTTGCCGGACCGCACTCAAGCGGCCCATCTTCAGCAGGCGTGAGATCATCGCCTCGTCCCCAAAGTGGCTGTTGTGTCCAAACTCGGGTTCCTGTGCATACGCCACTCGCGCTACATCCACCATCATCCGAGCGGTCATGCCCCAGACCCGGTACCGCGCCGCCGCGGATCCCTTCTCCTGCTTTTCAAGCTGAGTGAGGAGGTGTTGCTGTTCTTCGTTCTCACCCTTCGGCTTGACCACGTCCTCCGAACGAACCGGAACGAAGAATTGGTGCACTTTTTTGGTAGGTGGTATGCGTTAGCGCCCAGCACAGGCCGATTTCTTCAGCGAAAGTCGCAGACGAAAGAGAAAGATAAAAGCTTACTTCTCCACCGACTCTCATGCCACTCCGTCCACGATCCCCGATACCACTGAGGGTCAGTATCGCCCTTGACGCGCAGGAAATCCTGGAATGGGGCGGTAAACACCGCCGCCACCTCCTTGGCATCCAGCCGGGGGATCAGCGACACCTCGGGATCGGCGTTCTCGGCCGTGGCCTCGTCGTAGGAATGCAGCAACGCGACACACGGCCGGACCACCAGCTCCGTCCGGGCGAGGTTGGCCGGGAATTCGCAGAGATGCTCCACGCGAAAGGGCCGCGGAAGTCTGCTGTCCTCCTGCGGCAGACCGATCTCCTCGTAGGCCTCGCGGCGGGCCGTCTGAAAAGGTGATTCGGCCAGAGAATCGGCGCGTCCTTGGTGAATCAGCTCTCTACCATTGCTTAATGTTTCAAAGGACATCATGAACATAACATGTACTCACCACCGGGTAAAGCAGCCTGACCAGCATCTACTCATAATAAATCCATCATTAGCAATTGATAGCACCAAAAACTTTGA